TACTACAGTCGTGACTCGATAATCCGACCCTGAACCATCCAAAACTTTGCTACCTGACAGGTTTTTAGGAAAAACGAACGGAACCCATAGAAAACAGCCTTAACATACCGACAGTCTTGGATTCAGACTATGACATGACATTTTATGTCACCAATCAGGATAACAGCGTATTATCTGACTGAACAATCCCACAGATTGGCTACGTTCACACTGCAGGACTTGATGCTCAATTCAGACTTTTTTTGTGAAATCTGCTTTTTTTGCGAGTTCGTTCACATTTCCAATTAAATGTGAATTGTATGTGATCTGCTGTGTGAACTTCATACAACCCAAAAGTGTCCCGCATGCACAGAAGAGGAAACGATGACGTCACACACAGCGAGCGTGCTCAGTGGAAGTAAACACGAATGGTGGCGCCGGCGTCACCGATGGTGGAAACAGAACTGGATCCACTATCCTAAACTGGCATCAGCAGCCAAATACTACCTGTACGTTCGGCCACCTCCACCTCATCAGAGCGCTCCCCCGGGGTGGAAGTGTCCCCCGACCGCGCCAAATACTCAGATATTCATCATTAATTGGGCCTGAATATCCAGAAACCAGAAAGTACTATTCAGATCAGTCCTACTAGTTATTATAACAACTATGAACAATAATTAACAACAAATAATCATCAAGCATCAAGCCCTCCTTGTATCTCGACCTCCGTCTTGACAATCCGACAGCCTTGCTATCCGACATAAAAGAAGGTTTTACATTTAGTGTCAGATTATAAAGTCACAACTGTATATGAAAGAGGCAATGAAAAGACAAATTTGTTATCGAGAAACAAACTGCTTTATCAGATTAAAACTCATCAAAGCTACACTGATTAAATTTATGACTTCTGCTATTTGAAACTTGTAATGACTAAAGAAACAAAGGATTATTGTTGCTTTAGATTAAACTTTAACAATCTCACATTTGAGAAGTAGGAAGCAGAAAATAACTGGCAGTTCTGCTTCCAAAATAACCTGATACATTATTTGATTATGATTAATTGTAGATAAATCAATTGTGATTAATTGTGAACTGAGTAATTCATTTGTGAACTACGTGTGTGTTTACAGAACGCAATCTGAAGAGAACAATCTGAGGCTACAGGGAAATGTCAGCTAATTTAAGACCCCGCTCATCTCCACGCTGTCAACATGCACCAGTCAAATCATTTCAATATGTTCAGCAACTAAGGCATGCAATATGTAATTCTGTCTTCCCGGCCTGATTCTGCGTCATCCGTCTACCCCTCAAGAGACAAACAAAGAGAATGAATAGAGCTAGTGTTTTGAATATTACCTTTTTGACTGCATTTGATAGACTTTTTTTTTGCTTTTCCCTTGTCAGATGTGCATGTGTTAAACCAGAACCAGCTCCAGACCCGTCACTTGGCAGATGGCTGCTGTATGAAACCACTGAATATATCAATTTAGTGTCCTAGTTCTTTGCCCTGATTAAATCCCACAGGCCAAAACATGCTGAAACATGACTTTTCACTGGTAAATCATACACAAGACATTTACAAAGAAAGCATATTTTTGCGTCTGTGTTCATATCAGCGGTTAGCGAAACAGAAAAGCGATGTTGTGTGATCGCTATTATACATCCGAGGCTGATTTTATGGTTATATTTTATGATGATGGTTTAATAACATGAACAACCTTAACGCTATGATCATTACTAACTTCCGTCTCGGTTAAACATTAATTAAGCTGTGCTACCAACTCCTCAATCTCAGGACAACGACAGGAGGAAAAAATCTAATACCACACACATGTAGCACTTCATAAAAATTGTAAACTTTGGAGGAAACCGAAAGGTGGTGACTCCATTAGCAGCTTCCTGGTTTCTTGGATGATGTCAGTGAAACAGGAAGGGGTCAGAGAGGACCAACACCCAGACAGACTAATAGAGAGAAAGAGCAACAGATGCCAGGAGACAGACAGAGAGAGGGGCTGATAATGAGAGAGAAAAGGGCAAGGAAGAGGGCAAGAGAGCGGAAAATGAAGTGATGAGAATGACAGATCTGAAAAATGACTGACAGCCAGAGAGGAGACGGCTGGGGAGAAGAGAGAAAATGATATAAGAGTGAAGGTGACTGGAGGGGGAGAGGATATGAGAGAAAAAATAGGAGATGAGAGCAAAGGGGGGAAAGACGGGTAATGAAAGAAAAGGAAGAGGAAGGAGCAGAGGTCAGTTTGCCACCAGATTACACGGGCATTGTTGATGTAAAGCTCCGGTTTGTATCTGCCATTAAACACACTGCTGTGTGATGATAACTACAGAGCGTACCTGAGATCACAGAGCTCCCTTCAGCATGCTGCAGGTTACGCATGCAAGCCACTGCTATTGTGTCCAAACTCTTTTGAACTCTTGTCTTTTTGTGTTGGAGAGCCACTTAAAGAGCCTCAAAGGACACACACACACACACACACACACACACATATATATACACACCGCCGTGATGTAGGAGGAAGTGACACACGGTGCTGAATAAAAGATGGGTGTGTGGGAAGAAGCAAAGAGCACTGAAGGAGAATTGAAGGTAGTTAATGATGCTGCTCGGTGTTGGTGGCGGTGCGCTCACACAAACATCTGCAGCGTGTCGAGCCCAAATAAACGCACGGAGTGGTGAGAAATTTCTCCAACCACTTGAGTGAAGGCTTCAGATAACTTTCAGAATGTCACGATTCCTGATAATGTCGCGTTTTAGGACAGGAAGGCGACCTTATCCGCAGACCCAGGGTGTGTCCCCCTCCTCCTCTGGTGTCGGTGACCTCTGCTGAGGTTCCACCCTCTCCAAGTTCTCTCCCCCATTTCTCCAACCTGGGGGAGACGAAAGCACCCAATTTCCTGTGTTTCAGGAAGCGGAGAGGAAATGAAGCAAGGGGTGGCGGTTACACATTGTTAGGGAGGTAGTGTGAACAAAGAGTGGAGGGAATAGGTCAGCGTGTGGATTTAAGCCAAAGTTACAGCATGTACGCTCCTACAGAGCCCCTACAGAACACACCTACGACACGGACACATGAAGGACAAAGCCAGGAGAAAAAGGGCAACGAACAAAAGCCGCTGCTCCTCCTCCCGTATTCTTCTGTGATAAATGAATACACTTCTGCCAGTTTCCCTCATGCAAGCTAAAGAGCCCTTCCAGTGGTGCATTCAAAGCAAAGGAAATCTATTATCTGGGCATTGTCCTGTCAGTGACAGTGGTGCAAGGCAGCACAATCAGACAATAATAAATAGAGGGTGGGATTAGCTGATGTGATGGTATATATCACAAGATGTACGAGGGATGCTTCTCACACTGAGGAAACATGCTTTTAACGTCTTTATATAGTCCAGATGATATATGGGTGAAAATAACCTTCACCGTTTCATACGAACATGTAACTTTCATAGTTTAGAGTATTTTGAGAAATGGAGGCATAAAAAAAAAAACACCTCAGGGTGGCCATGAGAGCCATTGTACTTCCTGCTACAAGCAAATGATGGATTTAGCTTCATATTCCTTAATCAAAA